AATGGCAAAGGCAGTAATTCACCGGTAGTTGAAAATATGCATTTGTGGAAGTTTCCGGTTTACTGGGACGGTGTGAGTGAGGCTGGGAGAGGGTGAGGCAGGACAGTGTGTGGGCGAGACAGCAAAAGTCTGGGACAATGTGAGACAGGTTTTTATTTGTCAGATGGGTGTCTGACACACGTGGAAACCCATCACTGTACTTAAGAGTCGCCAAATCAGACTGAGAATTCCATTGACACCACCTACACATGGAAATTCCTGTGTCTGGAATGGAATGTGCACTCTCTTCCCAGAGGGACGCACCCAGTTTACCTAATCCTGGAGAGTATAAGGCTGGCTAGAGCCAAGGCTTGGGGGCCTCGGAGTATGCCTTGGGGTAACTGTTGGAGTCTAACCAGCTAAAACCATGTAGCTTGCCATTGAGAGCACTGTCTGGCAAGCTTTCCCGCTGCTTAGTTTCATAGAATTATAGAGATTTACAGCACAGAAAGAGGCTATTTGGCCCATTAAGTCTTTTGAGTATGCCCTGAAATCATGCTGTTCAGTTGATCCCACTGCGTGCCCTATCCCCAGCCCCTTCAAGCCAGGATAGTTATGTGACCTCCTGGTGTGCAAGACACTGTATAATTATAAATTGTGTTGTGTACACAGAATGATTCCTTACTCACAGGTCTGTATGAGATGTTCAAACTGTAATGACATGTAGGCGCTTATACTTATCAACTCAGTTACAAAATCTTTCACAGAAGTGATAAAAAATATGAACAGCAACAACTTGCATTTACACAGCCTCAGAGCGCATAACAGTGGCGGAGCCTGACACCGAGCCAGGTATGGGGTGCGGGGGAGGGAGTGGGGACATGACCGTAAATACGGTCGGAGAGGAAAATCTTCTGTTGTGATCTAAAAGAGGGGGAGGTGGAAGAGGGCAAGGCGGGGGTATTGGAGGAGAGAGTTCCAAAGCTTTGGGTAATCTCCTGTAATAGCTGCACACTCGCTACGAATGTTGTCTTTTTTAAAAAAAGTAATGAATAATTATAACCTTTATGATTAAGGACTTCTGTTTCAGTCTGTATATCTGCCTACTTCCCTGTGTCGACCTCCACCAGGTCCCCTCTCAGCCTTCTCTGCTCCAGTGAAAACACACCTACCGTCTCCATTCTCCCCTCACAGCTACAGCCCCTCAAGCCTGGGATAGTTCGAGTAAACCTCCTCTGCTTCCCCCCACTCCATGCCCCAGGCTTCCAAGGCCTTAACATTCGTCCTGAAGTGAGGTGGCCCAAAACTAGAGTCAGAAGGTTGTGGGTTCAAACCCCACACCAGAACTTGGATCACGTAGTCTAAATGCAGCGGGGGAGGGGGGGATTTTGCATTTTCCTTCGGATGAGATGTTAAAAGCTAGGTCCCATCTTTACCTGTTCAAGAGGACATTAAAGGATCCCATGGCGCTGTTTGAAAAGAGAAGGGAGTTTCTCTCTCTCTCTCCCGGTGTCCTGGTCGACAATCCCTCCAAATAAAATTGGTCACTCAATCCATGCCTGTTTGTGGATGTTGCTGTGCGCAAATTGGCTGCCGCATTGATCCACAAAAATACGGTCACTGGTTTATACTTTGCTGTATCTACTTTACATGAAGTCCTGTGAAGAGCCTTGGGACGTCCTCCTGATCCGAGGATTGTACCAAATACAAGGATTATTAGGATTATTTATTAAGCAATGTTTTGTACAAATTTAGCACTATCCCTTAAGGTTTGTGCACTCTATGTCGTAAATGGATAAAAACAAGAAATAACGTTAGCTGTTTTCTCAGACCTTTCCTTTGTGCTGCCATTTTCAATTACTTATGCACCTACCTTCCCAACTCCATTTACTCCTCTGCTTCTTACAAGATACTGTCATTCAATATATTGGAATCCCGTAGCCTAATAGTTAGAGCCCTCGCCTCACAAGTGAGAGGACTTGGGTTCGATTCCCAGGCAGGACGAAACGTTGGGCAAGTTTTCTTTCTCCACACACCTCTGTTTACCTCGCAGTAAATAGGAACAGTATTGTCATTTGATTGGCGGATTGATTTTCTGAGGATAATAATCCCTTGTAAAAATAAAATTGGTCAATCAATGTTCATCATTGTCATGCCTTAGGTCCCAGAGACCAGGAGGGAAGTGAGGACAAGGTAGCAGAAGGATAGCAAAATGTATTATCCTTTAGTATCAGCAGTACCTTGAAGGACTGAGGATCTAACTGGCTTGGAAAACAGACAAGAGTCCATCACCGAGGGCTGGCTCGATTCCGACATCCTGTTGCCAAAAATGTCACCTTGGGGCCAGTTCAGGTCGGATCCCTATGACACACCACTAATTGAGGTACCACTAACTAGAAAAACGTATCTTTTTAACCCTACTCTCTCCTTCCAAATCTCCAACCACCTTTGTATTCTAAACCGTCACGTTTCCCCCCCTATTCCATGTGCTCTGAGTTTTTTCCATCAGTCTCCCATGTGGCACCTTATCAAATGCCTCTGGAAATTCAAAGCCACAGCATCGCCTTTATCTACACTTTCAGGTTCTACCTTGAAGAATTATATTAAATGGGTCAAACATGGGATCTGCCCTTCACAAACCATGCTGACTGTCCCCAATTAACTCACACTTATCTAATTTATCGCTAACCTGGTCCCTTAGTATTGCTTCCAAGAGCACATTTGATAATAGTAATAATAATCCTTGCATCTGATATGGCGCCTTATCACGTCTTCAAGACATCTGAAAGCGCTTCCCAGGATATACTGTAAAGTTGTGGGCGAAACGCGGCAGCCAATTTGCGTACAGCAGTGTCCCACAAACAGCTATGAAGTGAGTGACCAATTGTATCTGGGGCATTGTTGGCCAGACCTCTCTCCAAGGGAGAATGAAACTCCCTTTTCTTTTTGAATAGTGTCATGGGATCTTTAACGTTCACCTGAACAGGCGCAGATGGATTGTCTCATCCGAAGGACGGCACCTCTGACAATGCAACCACCCCCAGTGCTGCATTGGAGCGTCAGCTTAGATGATGTGATTCTAAGCCTAGCTGGGTAAGGAAGAAGGATCGTTGGACAGTGGTGGAGTTTGATTCTGAGCCAAGCCACAGAGCCACAGAGCAAGCCATAGGGAGATTACCTTAGGCATGGTCGAAGAGGAAAATGTTGAGGTGAGATCTGAAGATGGGCAAAAGGGGGAGAGGTGGAGAGATTGAGGCAGAGTCTGACGTTGTAGTGGCTGAAAGCATGGCCGCCGATAGTTAAACTGAGGTGACGAGGGACCAACTGAGAGGAGGAGGGAGCACACCTTGAAAGGCTTTTTCTGTGCCCAGCCGGGTACCTGACACATGCAGAAACCCATCACGGTGCTTAAGAGTTGCTTAAACAAACTGAGATTTCCCTGCATCCCACCTACACATGGAAATCCCAGAGATACGTTGTTGGAATGGAATGCGCACTCTCTCTCTGGAGGGACACATCCTGTTTACCTAATTCCGGAAAGTATTAGGTGCAGGTTGGCAAGAGCCAAGGTTTGGGGACTCCAGAGTGTGTGTTGGGGTAACTGTTGGAGTCTAACCAGCTAAAACCACATAGCTTGCCATTGATATTGCTGTCCGGCAAGGTTTCCCGCTGCTTATCCAGCTAGGACCACTAGGACCACCCTATGTGTTAAGGCTTTGGCTTTCAGGATTACCAAGAGCTGAGTGGGATGATTCCCTGCCTCCAGTGACTAGGCTTGGTGGGGAATTTCTCTCTTATTTATTGCGGTGGCAGCTGTTCCCTCTCTCCATCCTCTTTCTCTTCCTTCCCCTCTGTTTCTCTCCCCTCTCTCCCTTTTTCTCTCTCTGTCTGTCCCTCTCTCTCCCCCTCTTATTAACAACAACAACTTTAAATTCAAATCTCACTCGCTTTCTCTCTCTCTTTCCCACCCTCCCTCTCTCCAGCCACTACAACACCTCCACTTGCAGTCACCTCCCCTGTGGTTTTCGTGTATTGCTGTCTCCCAGAGGCCTGAGAACAACAACAACAACAAAATTACATTTGTATAGCGCCTTTCACATCGGGCAGACGTCCCAAGGTGCTGGAGACTGCGAGATGGAGTTCCAGAGGGTGGGGGCAGAGTGGCCGAAGGCCTGCCTGCCATTGATGGGGCGGGTGAGGCAGGGAATCTGAAGCAGGCTAGAGCTCGCTGGGCAGAGGGAGCAGGCAAGTTGGTAGGTGGTTAGGAGGTCGCAGAGATAGGGGGGGAGCAAGGCCATGAAGGTGAGGACCAGGATCTTGAACTGTATCCTCTGAAACCATTTAACTTAACATTCGTTACAATCTCACACACTCCCCAGGCTCCCTGCCACCTTTACTGATACCCTCACACTGAAATAACAACAATAATAATAATAATCTTTATGGTTGATATAGCACCTTATCATGTCTTCAAGACGTCTCGAAGTGCTTCAGAGAAGACCCTGTAAAGTGAATTGACTATATATTTTGTGGGCGAAACGCGGCAGCCAATTGCACACAGCGGGAAACCTTGCCGGACAGCAATATCAATGGCAGCGTCCCACAGACAGTCTTGGATTGAGTGATCAAATTATTATTATTATTTATTTTTAAAGGGATTATTAACCCCAGAAAAACGATCCGCCAATCGACTAACAAGTGGGTTCCTACTTACTGCTAGATAACCAGAGACGTGTGGAGTAAGGAAACTTGCTCAACATTTCGCCCTGTCCGGGAATCAAAGCCAAACTCGTCTCGCTTGCGAGGTGCTGCTCTACCACTGAGCTCCAGGACTCCGGTGGATGGGGCACGGGGGGGAGGGGGGGGGCTTTACATGTGCTGTGGTGGAAGTTGAAAGGAGTGACGAGAGAGAGAGAGTAGGCTCTCTAACGCTCTTACTCTCTCTTCCTCGCTCTATATTTATATATTCTGACTGAGTGAGTGACAGCCTCTCTCTCTCTCTCTCCCCTTGTAGAGACACCATGAAGCGAGGCCGGCCTGGAGGCACAGGGCTGTCATTGCTCTGGGTGCTGCTGTTGCTGTTGCTGTGCCAGGTGTTGCTGGGCGGCTCTGCGGGGTTGCTCCCCGGGATGGCGAGACGCAGGCTCCCCGAGCAGCGGGCACACAGCCCCGAGCAGCGGGCACACAGCCCCGAGCTAGTCCAGGAGCTCCAGCGACGACTGCTCATTGCCCTGGGCTTCAGTCGCCGGCCCGAGCCCAGCCCTGGTGTGGTGGTGCCGCTCTACATGTTGCAACTGTACAGGGAGCGCTCCGGCCAGCCACAACCTCAACCACAACCCCAACAGCCCCAACCACAACCCCAACCACAGCCCCAACCACAACCTCAATACCACCCATCTCAACATCCTCAACACCAACACCAACAGGCTGAGCCTCGCAGGAGGTCCAGCCTCAGCCTCTCCAACACCATCAGGAGTTTCCATCACGAAGGTACGAATTTATATAGACTCACAGCTATTCTCCTTTCTTTCATTCTTTCATCCGTTCTCTCTCTTCTCTCTCATTTTCCTTCTCTCATTTTTCTTTTCTCTCTCACTCGCTCTCTCTCTCTCTCTCTCTGTATCTCCTTCTCTTTAATCTATCCCCAATTGATCACTGAGCCAAGTTGCCCTGAGGGGAATGTGATGAAAGCATTTGTCACACAGTGTCAGTGTGTACAATATAATAACATTCCCAAAGGGGAAGTGTACACAACAACAACAACAAAGTTACATTTATAGAGCACCTTTCACGTCGGGAGGACGTCCCAAAGCTCTTATATACACGTGCACGTATATGAATAATACAGGGATACACGCGCACACACAAAGTTGAAGCTGTGATGTTGACTGTCTTGACCTCAGCTGATATTATTTGAGCCAGTCACTTGCCATTATTGCTTTTCCCATTTGTGGATGTAAGGAGCGAGCACGTGTTTTAGTTTCTTTTCTCACAGCACTGTGATAAAATGAGATCACAGGAGAAACTGAACCGAAATCCAGGGAGGATAATAATAATAATTTTTGCATTTGACATAGCGCTTTATCACGTCTTCGAGACGTCTCAAAGCGCTTCATATTGCAAAGTGAATTGATTGTATCCCTATATTTGGTCACTCCATCCGCGACTGTTTGTGGGATGCAATTGTCAGCCGTGTTTTGTCTACAAAATACACAGAAAATTCACTTTACAGTATATTCTGTGAAGCGCTTTGAGACATCTCAACAATGTGATAAGACCCTATATCAAATGCAAGCATTAATATTATTAAGTTATTCTGCTTGTTATTTATAAGGTGCCACACAGGAGACTAGTGGAAAAACTAGTGGAAATTTGGAATAGGGGGAAATGGCACGATTTGGTTAGAAAGGTGGGCAAAGGTTTGGAAGCACAGAGCATCCATAGGGGCAAAATCCAGAGAGAACAAAAGTGATAATAATAATAATCCTTGCATTTGATACACGTCTTCTAGACGTCTCAAAGCGCTTCACAGAATATACTGTAAAGTGAATTGACTGTATATTTTGTGGGTGAAACGCGGCAGCCAATTGCGCACAGCAGCGTCCCACAGACAGTCGTGGATTGAGTGACCAAACTTTTATTATATTTTGGAGATCACAGGGAAATGCACAGTACTGTACACAAACGTTCCCGGCTCCTGAGCGAGAGCCATTGTCTAGTGAGGGAATCCTATTACATCCGTGTTATAAAGCCAGTGGTAACAAAATCACCCAAACACCATGTATGTTTCTAGATAAACATTGTCTTGGTGGGTTTGGATTTCATGTATTTGACTGGTTGGTTGGTCCTTCTGATGAGACTTTAAACTGAGGTCCCGTCTGTGCCTGTTCAGGTGGATCCTGCAGTGCTTTTAGAAAACAGAAAGGAGTTTCTCTCTCCCGGTGTCCTGGCCAACAATCTCCCAAATAATTTCCCCAATTAATATTGGTCACTCACTGCATGGCTGTTCATGCGACATTGCTGTGCGCAAATTAGCTCCTATGTTTGGCCACAAAATACTCAGTCACTACACTTAACAGTAAATCATGTGCAGTGCTTTGAGGCATATAAGGCCCTAAACCTTAGGCACGTTTCCTTACTCCACACTCCTCTGTTTACCTAGCAGTAAGTAGGAACCCGGTTGTTAGTCTATTGGCGGATCGCTTTGCCGGTGGTAATAAACACTTTTAAAAAAAAAGCACAAATGGCAAAAATGTAGTGACTTAATCCACGACTGTTTGTGGGACCCTGCTGTGTGCAGTTGTCTGCCACGTTCCACCCACAAAATACACGTTCACTCCGCTTTACAGTTTATTGCATGAAGCGCTTTGAGACATCTCGAAGATGTGATGAGGCGCGACATAAAATGCAAGCATTATTATTGTTATAGGAGTCCTGTAGCTCAGTGGTTAGAGCTCTGACTTTGCAAGCGAGAAATCTGGGTTCGATTCCCAGCAGGGTGAAACCTTGGGCAAGTTTCTTTCCTCCACACGCCTGATAATAATCTCTAAAAAACAATAATAAATTGGTAATTTCAATCCACAACTGTTTGTGGGACACTGCTGTGCGCAATTGGCTGCCGCATTTCACCCACAAATATACAGTCAATTCACTTTACAGTATATTCTGTGAAGCGTCTAGAAGATGTGAAACAACAACAACAAGAACAATTGGATTTATATAGCGCCCTCTACGCCGTTGGCCTCTCAGAGCGCTTCTCAGTAATGGATCCCAGGGCCGAGCCAGGGGGAGGAAGGTGACCAAAAGCCCGGTCGAAAAGAAAGGTCTTCAGCAGAGACCTGAAAGTGGGAAGAGAGGGGGCGAGGCGAAGGGAGTGAGCGCTATATCAAATGCAAAGATTATTATTATTGTTGTTATTTATTATTAATAATGGTGTGACTTGCGCTCTTTGCTTCAGAAACCCTGGAGGAGCTGCCGGGTGGCGGGGGAAAGAGCGTGCGTCGATTTTTCTTCAACCTGGACTCTATCCCGGCAGAGGAGCTGGTCAGCTCGGCCGAGCTGAGGATCTTCCGTGAGGAGGTGCGAGAGGCCAGCGCCAACGCCAGCGTTCACCACAGGGTCAACGTGTACGAGATCGTGAAGCCCCTGCCAGGAGCTGAGATGGGCGGGGAACCCATCACCCGCTTGCTGGACACCAGGCTGGTGCACCAGGCCCAGAGCAAGTGGGAGAGCTTCGATGTGACCCCGGCAGCCTCGCGCTGGGCTTCCCGCGGGCAGCACAACCACGGCCTGGTGGTGGAAGTCCTGCACTCTGACAGCGAGCACTCCAGGCGGCACGTGAGGATCAGCAGGTCCTTGCATCAGGACGACGGGACCTGGGCTCAGATGAGGCCCCTGTTAGTGACATACAGCCACGACGGGAAAGGGCAGAGCTTGGAGAAGAGGTTCAGGCGCCAGGCCAAACACAAGCAGAGGAAGAGACTGAGGACCAGCTGCAAGAGGCACACTCTGTATGTGGACTTCAGTGACGTGGGCTGGAATGATTGGATCGTGGCACCTCCTGGCTACCACGCCTTCTACTGCCAGGGTGAGTGCCCCTTTCCCTTGGCCGATTATCTCAACTCAACCAACCACGCCATTGTGCAGACTTTGGTCAACTCAGTGAACGCTAACATTCCCAGAGCCTGTTGCGTGCCCACGGACCTCAGTCCCATCTCCATGCTGTATCTGGATGAGTATGACAAAGTGGTGCTCAAGAACTATCAGGATATGGTGGTGGAGGGCTGTGGGTGTCATTAAACCACACACGGAGAGAGACAGAGAGAGAGAGATAGAGCCAACGAACTTGACACTTTACTGTTTCCCAATGAAGACCCTATTTATATATAAATATATATATATATATATATAAAAATAACAGGATCGGAACGTCTATTTTGAAAATATATTTATGTTCGCCGCCTTTCTAAAGAAAAAAAGGAGAAATTGGGAAAATAAATATTTTAATCATAGAGAATTATCCCTTTATATAAATGATGTTTTAATTGCATTTCAGATGTATATGGTTATGTATGGGCTCAACCCCCACAGACCCCCCTCCCTTTCCCCCAACACATGAAGAATAATGATTGGATTTCTTATGTTGTATTTATTGCTATTATGTAACCACATTTTAGAAAATAGCTCATTTATATTTATGTGTAATCGACAGATAAATATAGGGTATTTTTTATATCATCCCTCAATCTACGTCAGTCTGAATTGTGTGTGTGTGTTGTGTGCGTGTGTTTTGTGTGTGCGCGCGGTGGGAAAAAAAACATTATGACAAATTTCTTTCTCTTAAACTGAGAGAAAGAGAGAGCTGTTTCCAACGTGTACACACTGTTCCAAAGGGGTTTCTGACACATGGCACATGAAAATATTTGGCATAGCTGTCTTGAGAAGCTTTACCGATAATGAGATGAAGGCTTTAAGGAATGGAATGCACACAGAATCAATCGGGGCAAGGTTCTAACACAGCAAACAAACCCGTGTGGATAATAATGGTAGTGGAGTCCTGTAGCGTAGTGGTTAGCATGCTCGCCTCGCAAGTGAGAGGATCCGGGTTCGATTCCTGGGCAGGTGTGAAACCTTAGGCAAATTTCCTTACTCCACACACAAGCTCTGTTTACCTAGCAGTAAGTAGATGATTAACAGATTGCTTTACGGGGGTAATAATCTCCAAATAAATGAATACAATTGGTCACTCAATCCACCACTGTTTGTAGGAAATTCCTGTACGCAATTCGCTGTCATGTTTCGCCCCAAAATACACAGTTAATCCAGTTTACAGTATATTCTGTAAAGTGCTTTGTGACCTCAATGACATGATAAGGCACTTTATCAAATGCAAGGATTATTATCATTATAAATTAAACTTTTTTTTCAAGATTTCTCTCAAAACATACCTCTTAACTGGTCATTTTTCTCCTCCCTCTCGGCTCCCACATCCAGGTTGGATACCCAGCCGGTACTGTGTATGCATTTTTAGACGAGAAAGGTGCTATATAATATATATAATGTAATCCTTGCATTTGATATAGCACCTTATCACGTCTGCAAGACGCCTCAAAGGGCTTCACAGAATTTACTGTAAATTGAATTGATTGGATATTTTGTGGGCGAAACGCATTGCCAGCAGACAATTGCACACAGTAGTGTCCTACAAACAGTCGTGGACTGAGTGACCTCATTTTTTTTTGGAAGGGATTATTACCTCTGGAAAACTGATGCCCCAGTCAACTAACAATCGTGTTCATATTTACTGCGAGGTAAACAGAGGCGTGTGGAGTAAGGAAACTTACCCAAAGTTTTGCTCTCCCCGAAATGTAAATGCAAGTCAGTATTGTATTGTGGATATATTAAATACAGATTTGTAAAATTCCCAATTTAAATTCACACAAATAAAATTAACTTTTTTGGAAACCTTTCTTTAAGGGCACCATATAAAGAGCAAGCATCAATATTTTAACTCATGTTGATATAGAATATTAATTATTAACCTATGACAACTGACACTTAATCCCATCCCAACCACCCATACACATACCACACACATATACACACACACACGCAAAACACGCACGATAACCCCAGAAATAGAGTTGGGAAAAACCAAGAAAATATAATAATAATAATTCTTGCATTTGATATAGAGCCTTATCACATGGTTGTGATGTCTCAAAGCGTTTCACAGAATATACTGTAAAAGGAATTGACTATATATTATGTGGGCGAAATGGGGCAGCCAATTGCGCACAGAGGTGTCCCACAAACTGTTGTAGATTGAATGACCAAATTATTATTTATTTAATAATAATTTTTTTTGATGGATTTATTACCTCCGGAAAAGCAATCCACGAATTGACTAACAACCAGGTTCCTATTTACTGCTAGGTAAACAGAGGCACATGGAGTAAGGAAACTTGCATAACATTTCACCCTGCCCGGGAATCTAACCCAGGTCCTCTTGTTTGTGAGGCAAGCGCTCTAAACAAGATGCCACAGGACTCCATTCCAAGAGGTAGTTCAGAATCGCATCTATACCTGGTGATCACCCGGGGCCTCACCGTCATCATCATCATTGATAAAGCCATCTCGGACCACTACTTCATTTTTCTCAACACCTCCGCACCCCTTCCCCTCTACCATCACATACCATCCGTGGAAAAAAATGTCCTCCCTCTCCCTCTCCACTGCCCTGGAGTTGTCTGAACTCCTACACCTCTGGTCCTCCCTGACCAATCTCCCCTCCTCACTCTTTTTCCTCCACAACTCCCACTTCTCCATTCTGGACTTCCTTGAATCCAAAATCGAGGGGATACGTTCAGCCACCTCTTCCCCATCCACAGTCACCCCCACACCATCTCTCCCTCATGACCCATCGCCACCCATCCCCCCACTCCTTCGACCTTATCTCCCTCCTCACCGCGATTGTCCGCAAACTCAAACTCACCACCTGCTCCCTCAATCCCATCCCCACCTCGCTCCTCATCTCCCAGCTCCACCTTCTGGCCCCTCTCCTGTCCAATGTCATCAACCTCTCCTTGTCCACCGGTTCAGTTCCCACCCCCCTAAAAACAGCCGTCATCACCCCCATCCTGAAAAAACCTTTTCTGGACCTATCCCTCCTCTCCAGCTACTTCCTCATCTCTAACCTCCCATTCCTCTCCAAGATCCTGGAATGAGTCATCATGTCCCAGCGCCGTTCCTTTCCTTTTCGCCATTTCCTCTTTGAAGCCCTCCATTCCGGCTTCCGCGCAGCCCACAGCACGGAAACAGCCCTGGTCGAAGTTACTAATGACATTCTGAACATCTGTGATTAGGGCTCCCTCTGCCTCCTTGTCATTCTCGACCTCTCTGCGCCTTCGACACTGTCGACCATTCCATCCTCATACATCGCCTCTCTGCTTTTCTTAATCTTCGCGGACCTGCCCTTGCCTGGTTTGATTCCTATCTCTCTCACTGTCTCCACTTTATTGCCTCTAATGATTTCTCCTCCAGACCCCGCACTGTCACGTCTGGCGTCCCCCAGGGCTCTGTCCTTGGCCCTCTCCTCTTTAATATCTACATGCTCCCCCTTGGTGACATCATCCACAGACATGGGGTCAACTTCCATTTATATGCGGATGTCACCCAACTCTATCTTTCTTACACCACCCTCAACTCCAGGACCACTGCTGACCTGACAGACTGCCTGTCGGACATCAAGTTCTGGATGAGGGCAAATACAATTGAATGTGAACAAGATTGAGGCGCTCCCGATTGCCTCGCGCCAGCGCCTCTGCACCTCAGGCTCTGGCAGCATCAACCTCCATGGTTGCACACTTCAGCTCACCAGCCAGTCAGGAACCTCGGTGTCTTGTTTGACCCTCAACTGTCTTTTCTCCGCACATTCAAGCCATGACCCGCTCTGCCTTCCCTCACCTCCGTAACATCGCTCGACTCCGCCACTACCTCATCCCTCAGGCCACTGAAACTCTTGTTCATGCCTTCATCACCTCCAGGCTCGACTATGAACACGCTCTGCTTGTCGGTCTTCCCAACTCCTCCCTCCACAGGCTGCAGATAATCCAGAACTCTGCAGCCGTGTCCTCTCCCGCACCAAACTCCGTGACCCCATGTCCCCCACTCTCACCTGACTCCATTGGCTCCCTATCCTTCAGAGGATCCAGTTCAAGATCCTGGTCCTCACCTACAAAGCCCTCCATGGCCTCGCCCCACCCTATCTCGGCAACCTCCTAACCCCCTACCAACCCACCCGTTCCCACCGCTCAGCCGGCTCCGGCCTGCTCCACGTCCCCCAACCCCACCATTTGGTGGGAAAGCCTTCAGCCACTCTGTCTCCAAACTCTGGAATTCCATCCTCCAATCACTCCACCTCGCCCCCTCCTTAGCCTCCTTCAAGTCCCGCCTCAAAACCCTTCTTCTTCGATCATGCCATCATTCACTTCCCCTCCCCTCCTCTCTGCCTCCCTGATCCCAGCTCGGGTCTGAAATGTTGTACACTGTCCAGCGCCTTGGGACGTCCTCCCGATGTGAAAGGCGCTATACAAATGTAATCTTGTTGTTTTGTTGTTGCTGTTGTATACCTGTCTGACAGCAGAAGCACACATACACTTGTGAACCAATGTTGAGCACATTGTTTTTTAATGAGGTCTAAGTAATCAAGGGATTTTGTGTCCTCTCTGAACATTGGGATTGTATCCCACACCGGATAATCCCCATTAAATGGACACAACAACAACAAATTACATTTACACAGCGTTTTTCACGTCAGGAGGATGTCCCAATGCGCTGGACAGTCGGATTTGGACCAGAACTGGGGGTTAGGATCAGGAGGGGTGGAGGTCAGGGAGGGTAGGTGTAGGAAGGTGGCTGAAGGCGCTATCGAAGGAGGCAAGGGAGCGAGATGAAGGGACTGTGGGATGGAGTTCCAAAGGGTGGGGGTAGAGAGGCTGAAGGCCCAACCACCAATGATGGGATGGGCTGGTTGGGGGAATTGGAACAAGCCAGAGCCTGTTGAGCGGTGGGGGGGGGGGAATGGATAGGTTTATATGGCACTTAACAATCTCTTCTTTGTTTGTTTACTGTGAATTCCAAATCCCCTCACCTCTTGGCACCTCCCTACCTATTCAACCTGTTTACACCTGATTCCATCACACGCTGCCTCTGCTTGGCTGTCTCTGGCCTCCTGCTTGTCCCTCATCTCCTCTGCTCTAACATCAGCGGTCGTGCTTTCAGCCACTACATCCCGAAACTCTGGAATTCTCAATCCCTGTACCTCATGCCCTCACTCCCCTCTTTTAGATCATGGAGTCCTGTAGCTTATATCCTGTGAAGTGCTTGGAGAAGCCTCAACGAAGTG